GCATGGTTATTTGAAAAACACAACACAACAAGAATTCTTGAAAGCTTCTAGAGATGCAAGATGTCTCCACAAAAAAAAAACAAAAAAAAACACACAACTGTTGCAAAGTCCAAGGATCTGGTGAGTAGACGGTTCCTTGGAACTTCTCTGGATAAGGAGAGGACAGGAGATCATCCATGTGTGCTCTGGATGACTGTTCCTTGTAAGGAGACCACAGAACAGCACTTTTTTTGCAGGTCTGATGACAGGTAGGATGGATGAATGGCTGATAGGTAGGTAGGGAAGTAGGTAGGAAAGGAGAGAGAGAGAGAGAGAGAGAGAGAGAGGCAGGCAGGCAGGCAGGCAGCAGATATATAGAACACACACACACACACACACACACACACACCAACAATCCACCCAATATCTGATAAAGTACAACACGGTGCATACTTGTTTGAAAATTGTATATCTCATCTTAGAGAGGATAGCAAATACCTTTTGCCAAAAATCACCATTTTCCGTTAAGAACTCTTCTTCCAGGTAGCTGTCAAGGGAAACCGGCTGCTCCTTCCCTTTCCCCTTGCAATATTCCCGATACAGATGTTCTATTACCCTATCAGAAATGAAAGAGTTTTTACTGCCCTGAATTGCAGCAGAATTACAGTCGTTCCTTGTCTAGGGAAAGGTACGTTCCTTTTTCTTGATCCTCATGACTGAATCGCCTTTCTGGGGAACAGTCACGTTAGATCCGATATCTGCACGAAACAAAGGAGTGTTCTTTCCAGGACAATGTATGTTTGCTAAAACCAAAGTTCTTGGCTACCTGCTAACTGCCAACTCACAAAGCTCCCCTAATCCGCTCCCGAGTTGCCATAGGCGGGGGAATGTGGAACCGAGCCTCACAGCTGCATTGAGCCATTTGCACCTCAGTCAAAACAATGCACATCCCAGACGGTTAAAGTCAAGGCCATCTCCACAGAAACAAGAAATGGCCCGAGGGAGTGACTTCTACAAACTGGTTTTTCTTGAAACTTTGCTTGAGGTTCCTGCTTTCATGAGGGTATTGGTTGGAACCCTGACACTAACATTATAAAGCTCACAAGGTTTTAGCTCTCAAGAACCAGAATAAATATTTTGATTGGTATCAAAATCAAGAAACATTCGAGAACCATCCGGGCAGTGCCACTCGCTGACGGTCATTTCCAATACTTCCTTTATTGTTTTGCTGCTCTCCAACTGAAGACCGTAATACAGTTCTTTGTGAGAGATGCTCACACATCTACACTGAGGGAACTATATTCAAAATTAGGCTTCCATTTCACAACATGCAAGGGTGGGGTAGGGTAGCCCTGTGGGATTCACTTCCCCAGAAATCCTTCCTTACCTGAAAGGGCAGGTGGGCAATGCAGCCTCTGGATCATCCTCTAACAGGTTGTCCTTCCTTCCTGGCACCAGGTAGCCCCAGCCGTGTTTCTCAGAGTAATGCAATGGAAAGCCATCCCAGGTAAGCCTCATGAGCTTTGGAGTCACTCTCATTTGAAGGCTGATCAGGCTGGGTCCAGGGGCCCAACTAGGATCATTGAGACGTGGACACAGGTTGCGATACCACCTACCCAGGAAGAAGCAAACAATTTTGACACTCAACCAACAATTGGATGGCGAAGCCTGCTTACAGAGCTGTTTGCCCATATTTCTTTTCTGCCACTGCTATTTGTGTCAGGGTTTCAAGTAATACACCCATCGCAAGCAGAACCCAGAAGCAGGTGAATTCCTTAAAGAATAAGTTTATTGGATAAATCATTTTGGCACCAGCTGGTGAAAACTGACTCTGAATGTTCCTGTGGTTTTCACCCAATTAAAAGTTTTCCCCCTTCCCCAAACAATCAATCACATGGTCCAATCACGGTATTGTCCAGTTGCCTGGTAACTTCACTCCTCCCCTCTCCAACCACCTGTGGGAATGACCTTGGTTCCCAGGAGAAACTATTTTGTTTTGGCTACAAGCCCGTTATCTCTATCCCTCCCCCCTCCCTACCCCTCAGCTCTAGTGTGGCAATACTGAAGCCTCAAAATTGTCTTGGTCAGATCAGCTTCAGGGTTGGCAATTAGTTTTGTTCTTTAATACCCCATGAGCCACAGCACACCAGCCCCTCTGTCCTCCGTTGTTTGTTTATTTGTTTATTTATGTATTTTTATTTATTTTAATTTGTCAACAAGTACAAGGAAACAAGTAGGAAAAACACATGAAAAAATGGCACAAATAAATGAATAAAAATAAGCAAAATGTAGCCATAAACAGATAAAATACATATAAACGGGACAGTAGGATAGGGATGGTAAGCACGCTGCGTAAGGGCCACGGTAGACAGCCTAAGGTAAAAGGTATGGGGGTTAGAGGAACTAACAACAGGATCATATAGGGCAGTGGTCTCCAACCTTGGCAACTTTAAGACCTGTGGACTTCAACTCTGGGAGTTGAAGTCCACAAGTCTTAAAGTTGCCAAGGTTGGAGACCACTGCCCTATATGATCCTGTT